TTACTTCAAAGACCATTGATTTAGATGTTAGTTAGGTATTTAAAAATACCTTCACAGAAATATCTAGTCTGGTTTGTGACCTAGCATCTGTGCACATTAGCCTATCTAAGTTAACTCATAAAATTCTTTCACAGTGAATGTGTTATATTTCTCTTTTATTTCTACATGTTTTGAGTGCCATGCTTCACACATTTGACTTCCCCAAGTCTGTTTTTCTCATTGGAATAGATCTCCAAATTTAAGTTCATGATTTTTTTCTGTTCTCTTGGTTGTATTGTTTATGGATCAATTAAACTCTATTTGCCCATTCTTCAATGATATGTTTGATATTTACTAAAAAGAACAATATATTGTATTTTTAATTAGAATCTACAAAAACTATAATGGCCATAGTTTAATGGGTTCATATGCTAACCCAAAGATGGTCCTTATTGATGGTCTTCTTTGCTAGACTTATGCACCCACTGTTAGCTTAAAAACAATTTTACAGGGCTGTCCGAGTGTTAAGAGCTGGCTTAAGAGCATGAGCTCTGTGCAACAGCAGTTGGATGCCCGGCCCGAGCTGAGCTGCTGCTGAGCTGCCAACAGGTGGCAGGATGGCTCAGCTAAAAAACAAACCAAAAAAAGAACAATTTTACAGTAAAAGATATGAGCAGATATTTTCTTCTTCTATGAGGGTAAAAGTGATATGGTACTGCAGAAAAATACTTGACTGAACCCTATTCTCCAAGGAAGAACTTTGGGTCCTAGAATTTTGTATATATGAAAGGCCTACAACCCCATTCAGTCTTCATCTCCAGTCAATATTTTTAAGAGAGGTGCTTCTAGAAGTCCAGTGTAGGCTTCCAGAAAAGTAGCAAACATGTAAGACCTTTGAGATAGAGACTACCTGTGACTACAAGTGAAATTATTTCAATGCTTTCATTGGGGTTTCAAAATGATATCGAACTTCTCAAATCCCCATAGTCTTTTATGAATTAATAGGAATCTCCCAAATTTTCCACATGGATTTTCCTGCCACTTTCAACTAAGATGATGTATCAATGTGTTTAATAACTGAACAAAAGCAAGTGATGAACCCTGCAAGTCCTTTCTTGTATATAGTCAATTTAGTCCTAGCCTATTCCAATTATTTCCTAATTTTAGACTTTTTCACACCTGCTTCATCCTGTGCAATTTTGTATTTGCTCTTTAATCCTGTAACTTTGACCCTCAGGACTATGGCTCAGGCTCAGCCCTTTAAAGCTGCTACTTTAGGTAGAAGTCTAGCTCTTTGATATTTAATTTCAAGTTGCAGATCATTTGGCTGGCATTATATTTGGGTCTCTTCCAATCTCTTGCATATACTTGTTCTAAAAATAATATAACACCGGCAACTGTGTTATATTATGAAAACATACAACTATAGGAAAGGGATCCTCTGTATATGTACATAACATGTATAACAGAAGCTATACCGCTAATATGTTCTTAGGAACCACTGATAATCTTTCAAAATTCTATATGCTTTGGTCATATGACTGAAAACTTTGTTATAGTTTAGAAAAAAAGATTACCCTACTGATTGTGAGTAGCATAAAAAGAATATAGTTACTATTTTCTTTATGTTGTTGATTTTAAAAGAAAGAAAAAAAAGGTATGAGCAAAAACCTATGGCTCAAAGTAAATATCGATTATTGAAAAGGACCTGGTGACATTACCTATTTAGCTTTGCTTCTGACCTTCAGCATATCCTAGAGTTGCAGAAAATATTCATTCACTAAAATTGAATGAAACTGAAGCAGAAAATTTCATGGAAGACCTTGAGGTCTCATGGGATAGGACTGTACACAGACTAGCATGACTGGAAGTTGAACAAAGGGGCAGCCACAAGCTTCCTCCTGACCTTTTCCCTTCACTCACTGGCATTTATATGAGCTTTGACTGAAAGGATTCTAGAGATGGCAAAAAGCAGATCTGGACACAGCTTATGCTCTACTGATTCTATTTTGCTCCAAAGAAATGTAGCAAGTTATTTTTTCTCTTTTTTTTCCATGACCCCTGGCATAAACAAAAACAAAACAAACAAACAAAAAGAAATAAGAAAAAGAAATGAGCTGTCTCAAGGTAAATATCAGAAACTAACAATATAATTTAAAATCTATATTGGTAGATAAAAATCTAATTGGTGATATTAAGTTACAAGACAATCAAGTTAATATGAATTTAATCCTGTTTATCTTATAAAGGAGAAATTCTTCATGCCAATTTTTAGCGAGAAAAATTTAGGAAGTACCTAAACAAAAACCATTGAAATGAAAACCATCTCTATATTCAGCAATAGCATTTCCAATAACCCTACTTTTGAAAGAACTTCCTATACAAGTATTATATGTCTATTATAAGAAGAAAATGTTACCGAGAGCTCATCTTATATGGTACCATATATGTTGAACTCATTAATTTCTGGAAAATTTACTAGCAATGATTTTTAAGTTTTCTACAAATGTTTGTATTAAAGAAAAATCAAAGTATACACAAACACACAAATATTCTCCCTCTCTCCCTCTCCCTCTCTCTCTCTCTCTCTCTCTCTCACACACACACACACACACACACACACACAGAGTCATTAATCTTGATACATGATACCAAAAGACAAAAATCTCTGTGGTAGATACTGTTGATGCCACATCCCATATATTCTCACCTGAACTGAGTTCATCAGCAGTTTTAGTTGAGTTTCCAGCCTATCTTCAGCTTTTCCTTTAAGCTGTTATTTCCTCTTGTCTTCTGAGAACTTTTGTTCTTAACCAGTTGATTGAGGTATGATTGACATGTAAAAAGCTGTACATTTTTAATGTATACAACTCCTTGATTATGGGAATAAATATATACCCATTAAACCATCACTACTATCAAAGACATGTCTATAACATCCCAAAGTTTCCTCCCATTCCGATGATGATGATGATGATGATGATGATGATGATGATGGTGATGGTGGTGATGGTGGTGATGGTGGTGATGTTTTTTGTGTGCATGGTAAGAGCACTATTACTGAAGATATATACTCTTAATTCATTTTAAGAGTACAGTGCAGCATTGTTGAGGGCTTTATTGGTACCTGAGAACTTGCTTGGGTGCAATTAGGGACTTGTGAATTTTAGGGAGTTAATGTGACTCAGTTAAGCCTTAAACAGTGGGGTGTGAGGTCATCAATGAATAAGTGCAAGATCTCCATTCTTCTAGAAGGATGATTCTGAAGCCTGTTTCACAGAGGTTACTTAGAGGGCTGGATGCCAGTAGCCTACAGCAATAATCCCAGTAACACAAGCTTCACTTCTCTGCCTCCCACTTTCTTACTTGTACTCCCTGGATTGTCTCTCACATACTTTACTTGTACCCAAGTTCTTGCTCTGAATCTGTGCTCACAGCCGCTCAAACCTGACATTGTGCAACAAGGCAAATATAATTTCCTCATTTGAGTAACCACTGTTGTTGAAATAATCAATGATAGAAATAAAAAACTTGGTGAAATTGAATTCTGACAGGACTGTAGATGACCAAAATATACTGACTGATTTTCAATTACTGTACATATGAAGATCAAAAGCCTATGAAAAACATTATTATATTAACACTATCAAAATAAAGATATTTTAAGTGAATTACACATTTATTTTAAGTGATATAGAATAACATATGAATAGAATAGACTGTAATTCCACAATAACGAAGTAATTGGAGGTTTCCTCCAATCACTTTTAATAGAATTTCAACTGTTCATATTTGTTAGTTCCCCAAAATAAGGAAATAATCCTAATAAATATACGTATCACAATTATAATTAATCTGCTCTTTTGAAAATTTTGTGCTTGGTGTAATCTTCAAAGTTATTTAACTGTCTTCAGTGAATTCTGTTCCAAGTAAATTTTGTCTTGTTTCTCTCTTATTAGAGAATAATAAGAATGCCATAGAGAATAAAGCATTTCCCTAGGAGGGGGAAAAAAAAAAAACTAACTGAGGTGATTCACGCTACCTGCCTTAAAATAAGTTTGTCTTTATTTCCTTTTAAATTAACTTTGGATATTTATGATACCTATAAGATCACTAACAGCACATGAGAATGAACTTGTGCATTCGGGATTTCCCATAACCCAGCTCATTTTTAGTAATTGTAAATAGTAATACCCATACTTTTTTTATTGGCTAATGCTATAAGGTGGCATCTGTCATCAGCATCCTCATATAAACTCACCATCGCTGCAGCATCTGTTCCTTCACACAATGTTCTATTTCTGTGTCTCGCACATCTAACTAGAGAGGAACAAATAGACTATTTTAAAATAAGCTGCCAATGTTTCTAAATGAGAACTCAAATCATCTTTGCCAGAAATGTATGTGGCAGAACAGGAATAAACTATGACTTGTGACTTTAAAGAATATTAACAAAATGAGTTAATTATTTCATTTACATTACACAGTAAGAATATATAATTAAATAATTGGAGGACAGGTTTATGCTCCACTTTTATTTTTTCTAATATGTGTAACAGTTCTCATTTGGGATTGTAAATCTATTCATGAATAGCATGGAAGTGGGATAAGTCTTTTTGAAACTTGGTAGATTCAACATAGTTAATTTTCTGGGCCAAATACTTTTCCTGGGACACAATGAATTAGAATTGAAACATGAATTTATCCATCTGTTTCACCCATTCATTCAATAAATGTTGATTGACCATCCTGTGTGCCAGGATGTAGGGATACATTTTTTTAAAAAAAGCAGTGACTAATGTGCCTGGTTTCATAGAATTTACCATTCTAGAAGAGGAAGGCAGAGAATAAGAAAATTAAAAATAATAATAATATTAACTATATATATATATATATATATATATATATATATATATATACATCAGGTGGCAAAGGTGCTGTGAAGGAAAATAAAGGGAGATATGGGGATAAAAGTTGCAAAAGAGGGGCTACTTTAGAAAAAGTGATTTGGGAATAAATTTTTGATTCAGTGGGAAATATCTCTAGTGAAGTTAATAATTGAAATCAAAGACTAAGGAAATAGTTGGTCACTTTTCCCGTTTAGAAAAGGTGGTGAGAAAACATCTTAAATGGCTAAAACATATTAGTGCACTTGTAGCAAGAGCTAGTTAGAGAAACCACCATTAAGAATCAAAGAGAACACAATTTTGAAATCCAAAAGCAGAGTGTACAAGTATACAAGAAAATCTCAAACAAGCAAATCCCTAGAAGGCCTTTCTATTGTGCTTCAATGCAAGCACTGTATTTTGATTCCAACCCTACACATAGCTTATATGACTTAATGTAGCTAAGGAGGAAAGACTGTGCTTCCTTTGTTCAAGAAGAATTGCAGCATAAATCATTACCATGATGTCAAATTATTCTTGTTACTGCTTTATGACTATTTGAAAACATTTCACATAAGAAAAACATGGCTAAATATACATGAAGGCCATGCAATGTGTGAAAGGTGGCAGCATTTTGTGGCATGTGTCATTCAAAGAAAGAAGACATGACAATATTCCATTTTGTCATGTATTTACTAATTTATTTAAACCTTATTCACTTCAGACTAAGTAGATATGCCATAGAAGAAATAAGAACTTTTGAGTTTTTATAGCTGTCCACAGAGCATGAAACATGGCCATTATTTAGTTATGTATTTTAATTAAACAGGCTGCAAAATAGTTCTTAATGTGTAGAACATATATTGTATATAGTCAGGGAATTGTGTTCTATTTAAAGTAAAACTTTTAAATAATACTATGTTAAGCCATGAGGAATTGATTTTCCGAACAAATAAATCAATGAGTGAATAAATCAATGGAAACATTTGAGAAAATGTGATCTCTTACTGTTATGTTAAGGTATAATCTCTTCTTTCAACCAGTTTACAATCTAGTTATAATAATAGCGCGTATTAAAATAATGGGGAAACACTAGAGGTAATACTTAGGCATTGCAATTAAGACTGAATCTGCATACTATCTGATGGTGTGTGTATATTGTTGTGGCAATCATATAGGGTCCAGGGTTAAAATACATGGATTCCTCCTCTGCCACTGTAATTTCATAACAGCTTAATTTGAAGCCCCATCGTGTGCATCCCTAAATAATGAAATATCTGAAAGAGAGCTAGGGAGGCAGAAAGAAAGAGAGGTTCCAATGAGGCAATGCATGTGAAAAGTACCAAAAGGGGTTTTGTTTTAATCATCATTAACACAGGATTTCAGAAGGAGAGATTCATTGATTCACTCATCTCTTTATTAAACAGATCTTCACTGAGCACCAATTATATGCCAGGCCCTGATCTAGATGTTGGGTAGATAGCACAGAATAGACCAGTTCCCTGCTCTGGGCAAGCTTACATTCTGGGGGAGAGAATAGAAAATGAACAAACTAACAGACATATGTGTCAGGTAAGATTGTAAGCACTGGGAAAAACTTAAAGCAAAGTAGGGGGATTCTGAGTGACAGGGTGTGAGAGGACTATTTTAAACAAGGCAATCAGGGAAATATTTTTTTCTGAGAGATGTTGCATAATACGAGATTTGATGCAATAAGGGTGAAAACTATGAGGGTTTTTAGGATAACAGAGTTTCAGGAAAATGGATGAAGGAATGCAGAAGCACTAGGGAAATAACCTCGGTGTACTATTGGGATAAGTCAGGGAGGACAGTGTGACTGAAGGGCAGTGTGATACGAGACGGGACTGGGGTTTGTAGAGGAGGGCCTCACAGGAAAAGAGGACGGGCAGAGTCAGAAAAGGCTCAGAAAGAGTGCAGAACTTGACCAGGATGTGGAAGGAAAATTGAGATTTGTATATAGAGAGAGGAAAAGGCAGGGACTCCACGATGAGGGAAACATGAAAAAGGGAATGAAACAAATATTAAAATGTTGAGGGACTTAGGGTCATAATAGGGTAGTGATCCAAAACAATAATGTAAAAATAAGCGGCCATGAAACAGTTGATATAAAAAATTATACTGGCAATGATAAGGATGATTTGAAATGACAAGCACCTAAAGTAAGGCTGTGTTAATTAATCTATAGGTCTAAGGCACCCACAAGATGATGTATTGGCAGAGTAGGCTGACTGATTTACCAAACTGCTAAATATCACTGATATGACACAATTCATATATTTATTGCTTACAATCACAGATGGGGCAGACCCTGCTGGGGGCGCTGCTCCCATACATAGTCATATGGACCTTTAGGATCCTTCCAAGTCATGATTCCGCTTGCCTCATACTTAAGTCCTTGAATTCTTTTCATTCAGCCAGCAGATGGGAAGAGCAGACATAAGCGGGGCTTGGAGGGTGTTTATTGTCTGTTCCAGGATGGGGAGCTGATTACTTCATAGTCAGTAAGCTGGACTTTAAGTCAAGAGGCCACACGTCATAGAGAAGAAGCCTGGAAAATACAGTGCAGTTGTGTAACCAGGAAGAAAAACAAAACAGAGAAAAAGACAGTCTGAGATAAATACACATCCGATGTAAGTAGGCAGTACAAAGAAATGTAGTCAAAAAGAAAAAAATAATAATAAGTAGAAAGAATAATGGCATATATGAAATAAATAGCACAAAGAAAAAATAAAACATCCAATTGTCATAGATGTTCACCTTGTTATCTTAATATTCTATTAAAATAAATATGAAAAATTATCATTATCAAAAAGCTTCTTGGTAAACATCATGAGGGCAAAGACTTCATAACTAAATGCTCTACTTTTTATTAAAATATTATCTTTTGAATTGAATTTCATACTTTTTAGTTTCCTATGCACTCATGTTGTACATCAATATAGGCCACGGCATTTGAATAATGGAATGATTTTTAATCATTTACATTTTTCCATGTTCCCTAAGTGAATAATGCTGGCTCATTATGTCCTCATTCTAAAATGCAATATGTGTATATATCTGTATGATTTTTATTTATTGAAAAACGTTTTTCCTTACCAATTAAAAACAAAAAGAGCTCAAGATGAAGTTTTCCTCTTGAGGCATAGATGTTATGAAAACAGCAACTTGGTATTTGGACTATTTGGAAGCATCAGCAAAAGCAAGATTTTAAAATGTAAAGTAATATTCTTTAGAGATAATGTAATTATCTTGTCAACATACCAAAAAAAATGCAAAAACCACATATCACCTTACAAATTTGACTTATGAACTTGGCTTACAATGACCTATGAAAAAGTGGTCAATTTTTCTATGTCCTAAACATCTATGTAGTAGCATTACTAATTATAACAATTATAATAAAACAATTAAATTTTTAAATTTCACTTTGACATAGAAAACTACCCTCAAATACATGATCTATTAGATAGTGATTCTTCTGATCAAGGAGACACTACACAGAATTACTGCTGATTTCATTCAGGTGTGCCAGTAATTAAACTGTGTGAAATAACTATTCATTTTATATCAGGCCTAGGAATACCTTACATTCTCTCATATTCTCTCTCTCTCTCTCTCTCTCTCTTCCCCTCTCGCGCTCCCTCCCTCCCTCTCTCCTACTAGGACACTATTATCTGGTGGCTAGATTGGCTGGATCTTGTCATTCAAAAATATTAGCTCCTCATATTGGATCATGGTATAATGATAGTGTTCATCTAAAGCAGTGGTTTTTAAAAAGTTTTTCCTCCTATATCTTTTATAAGAATTGAGAATAAAATAAGTACGGTAATACCTTGGATTGAGAGCATAATTCATTCCAGAAACAAACTACTCGTATTGCAAGACATTTCTCTTGTTAAAATGTATTAGAAATGTTTGTTTATCTGGTGGAACACTCGCAAACCACGTTACTCACAATCCACGGTTTTACTGTATTTTCAAGAAATTCTCCAGATTGACAATTAAATTATAACAGTTTAAAACTGCTAAAAATTTGGAAATTTGGCTGCATTAAACATAGGTATTTAAAAATGAACAGGTCGTGTTGGCTCTGTGGCTTAGCTGGTTAACGCGCCTGTCTAGTAAAAATGAACAGGTCATGTCAATCTCTTAATTACATCCAATAAGATCTAATTATCATAATGATTGATACACAATAACACTAATTTAAAAGAAATACGTGAACACGTGTAATATTGCATGGTTTTCACTTTTTTAGATCATATTCAATCCCACTTCCTCCACAGAATTTTTTTTCAAATGTATACAATGCAGTTAAATTCTTTGTTGAAAGTCTTTATTTCTCTACATAAGATATATGTATTTATATTTTAATATATTTATAATTTAAAACATTTTTTAAATTTCCTGTGAAACAGAAAGTGTTAAGAAATTTATTTTAGATTGACCTATCTTTATTATTATATATAAATGTAATAGACAGCTGATCGAAGATCTCCTATCATTTACCATGGATGGATATTATTTATTGTAAGAATAATGCGGAGTTTAACATTCGCTTCATTCCTTTATTTAAAAAAATTGATCTGAACATTAATAAACTATGTTCATATAAATAAATAGATTTGAACAGACTTATAAGCATATAATTCAATTCTTTGAACCCCTCCTGAGTTTTGGGCCAAAAATGACATGCGGATTTCTCATTTTAAAATATTTAATAAACTGTCATCTGGCAACTAAATTTAGTTCTCCTTCAGTTCTGTTGAAACATATGAATGGGAAACAACCTGAAAAAGCATTTGTTTTCCAGTCATTACAGTCATTTGTTTTTCAACGCTAGCACCGATATCTAGTTGTGTGTGTGTGTGTGTGTGTGTGTGTGTGTGTGTGTGTGTGTGTGTGTGTGTGTGTAAAACCCTGGAGAATTTTGCATCCTGGAACAATATACAGTAATTAGTCTTAGAATGGCTGAGATGCATTCTTTTTAGTATAAAGTGTAGATAAATGTGTTAGAGAAAGGATATGTAGAAAAGTAGCTGCTTGACTCAGGAAACTTGGCAGTCTTAGGAAAAAATCCATATAGAGGTGAGGACTGGAAATTACTTTCTGTAAAACCATCTGTGCTTGTATCTTAAATCCCAGGCTTTGTATTAATATATCCTGTTGGAAGACAAGTGGTCTAAGGAGCCTGTCTGCAAACCCAGACTATCCCTTGCAGAGTTTGAATATGCAGACTAACATAGTCCCTTGCTTAGCACCTTTGTTTTTTTTTTGGAGGGGGGGTAGAGGGTAGGGTGGGGTGGGGTCACATGTCACAATGGTATGCAATGTGTCCTGTGTAAAGAGTAAAAGGTCCACTTCCTGGAGAGATTGCCAGTGCCAACTTGATCTCCTGTTCGCCTCAGCATTTTCTGGCTTCTTCAAGTTTAAATGTGTACAGTTGAATAGATTTACACACAATATGTTCTATAATTTAATACAATAGTCATATAATGGATGAGTGGCCTACAAGTATTTCTGTAAATGAACATGTATTAAAGGTAATATGTGATTCATAATCCAAACATGGGAAAGATCAGAAAGTAAAAAGAACTGATAGTTATCAATCAAGTTAAGTCTTTTAATAGTAGACCAAACTACAAGACAAAAACAGTCATGGTCTAAACTGACATGACAAGAAGTCAGCAAAAAATTTCTAAATATCAAAAAGACAATTTGAAGTGTTAATATAGATATGTAATTCATAAAATATTTAAAATAAAGTTTAATTATTTTAAAACCCTTGTATTTAGTGATGGTTTACAGTGTATATAAATCATTAGTAAAGACGTATGTATACATAACATATAAATAAATCAACATATTTTGGCATACATATTTGCCCAAAATATTTGAATGATAGGGTGTGTTATGAAAAATCTTTGGTGACTGGTCTGGATAAAGCGGTAGTGTTGAATTTTTCTATATGGTTAAAAGAAAAGTTACAATCACTCAGTAGCTGCCTATCTAGAAATTTTATCAGTATTATTTCCTCTTTATATATTTTTCACTAAGTGGCAAACATATAGTAAGCAGTGAGGTTTTGGGACAGTCTGTTATCAATGATGCTTATGATAACATAACTATCATCTCTATGTATAAATAGTGTAAATGATATGATTTTTAGATAATTTATATGTAAATAATTAAAGACTGATTTTTTGGATAAACAGAATATAAAGGTTGAAAAAACAAGTATGTAAACACAACTCACTTTTAGGATGAGCCATTTCTCAGCACCATTCTTAGTCAATGTAAATTTCAACAGAACTTTCAAAATATGTGAGTCATGAGCTGAACACATCTTTGTCTCTGCCTTCCTGCCACAGAGAAGCAGAGGCCTCTGCAGAAACAAACATTCTCCAATCTAACTAGTTAGCCATAGCTATCTTCACCATTCTTTCACAAATACAGAGTTTAAGTGTAGGATTTTTTGTGTGTCTTATAGCCCTGAGCAGGTATTCGATTTAGTGATAACATTACAATTAATTTACGTGATTCAGGTTAACAAACATGAAACAATATTTATTTCCATAACGTTATATTTGTTCCCACACTTAATTTTATTTTGTGCTAATTTGAGGTTCCTTTTGGTTCTGTCTTTTGTTTTACTGATTTAGTTTTTTCTGCAATGATTTAAACATTAGGGCGCTAATTTCAATTCAACTACTTAGATTTTGACATTTGTTTAAAAAAACTAGTTATAATAATATTAAAATTAAACTGTTTATTTTTAGATTCTCTCACTCATTTTCCTTATATTACTTTCCCAGCAGTTTCCCCAGTTTTTAAATTTATCTTGAGGTCACAATCCCTGTATTTAAAGAAATTATCCTTCAAGTATTTTTAGACTTAAACATTCTATTTTGGATATAAAATTGCAATAGTTACTTACATACATGCATTAAAATGCTACACTTTCCCATCGACTTTAGTACTTTTATATATTTATCTTGATTTTTAACAGTTGAAAATCCATTTTCATAGCCATTCATAGCCATTCCTTAGCTCATATTTTGTTCATCTCTTGGTGATATGGAAAAATTCTTCAGAAAGATTTTTGAGGAAAATATACGTGAGTGTTATTCTTTTGAGGTTTTCAGGGTCTTCAATGTTTCCTCCACACATTGATGAACAATATCATTGTTGGGGCATAACAGTTTCGAACTGCAATCATTTTTCTATTAAATCTCTATTAATTTTGCCTCATTGTCCTCCTGCATTTATTGTTTATTGAAAAAAAATGGAAAAAAAAATCACATGAGCTCCTTAGAGAAAAAAACATTATGCATACAATGGAGAAAAGAAAGTCTCTTCAATAAATGGGTCTGGGAAAATTGGACAGCCTCTTGCAAAAGAATGAAACTAGATTGCTACCTGTTACCATATACCAAAATTAAGTCAAAATGGATTAAAGTCCTAAATATAAGATCTGAAGCAATAAATTGCATTAAAAAATTATAGGTACTAAACTAATAGACCTTGGGTTCAGAGAGGATTTTATGA